CTCACCAGAGTGCAGCGGCTCTCCATGGTGCACCTTCCCCCCAGTCTCAGGTAGGACCAGCCCTGCCTAGAGAAAGGACAGGAAGCCTCCAAACCTGCTCTGCTGGTGGGCTTCCATCAAGGAAGGCAGAGGCATAGAGTCAGACATCTGGGAACAGGGACAGTGGTATGTCCTCCTCCAGCAGCTGGAGGTAATAGAGGGCATCCTCCTGAGAGCAGGATGCAGCCAGCAGTGCAGCCACTTGCCCTCCTATAGAGCTCTGCCCTTCCCTATTGGCACAGACTGGAAGAGCAGATAATTGGGGGGGGGGGTACAGCCCCAACCCACTCCAGCTCCCCTCCCTGGCAGGGCAGCAACCTCTCCTCTCCAGCCCAGCACCCTCCCAGGGCCCCTCCAGCTGTTCTAAGAGGGAGGAGCAAGGGGCTGTGGCTCTCCTCTAGTGTTCTCAGCATGCTGCTGTCTAGCGGGCACAATGAGAAGCTGGGAGACCCGGGCCACCAGTGGAGTCAAGACTGCCCTCAGCTTCTTCCCCAGTGCCACGGTGGAACTCAGGCAGGAGACAGCTGCAGGGATCTAAGAATGGAAGACATGGGGAGGCAGAAGCTCCCCAAACTCAAAGAACAGCCAGGATTTAGGAGCCAGGACCACAGTGGTGACAGGCAGCCCTGTGCCAAGCACCCCCAAAAGGCACATGTGGACTGCCTACCCCTTGCTACACATCTGCACAGCACCATGCACCCACCCCACATTCCTGTGTTCGGTAACTGTGTGCAGTACTAAAGCACTGGAAGAAACTGAGGCCCAGAGACCAGAGCACTAGGCCACTCCACAGTTGGACTCGGAGGCAATTTAGAGGAGTCAGAGGAACCCTGATCTACGCTGAGGTCAGATCCTCCTGCATCTGCTGATCTACACAATGTGAATAACATCAGTTTGGTGAGATGATGCTGGCACAGTGTATGCCATGGGGTAAGCGTTCAAGAAATCACAGTGCTTAGCTGCTTCCTGGTTCAGCGTCCTTTCCACCAAAGTGTGCTTTCTGCTCTAAATAAATAAATGGTCTGGAGGTGAATTCATTTTACCAAACAGTTCACTATTATTTAGACACCCCTTAGGTACGTTGAAGTCAGGGCTTCTTTTTTAAACACTTCGTTGATACTGGATTTCTCAAAAGGCCACCTGCATTTTGTTCCCTCCAAGGATTAGATTCCCTCTACTTCATCCAAACCACTGCTGTGCACCAACAAACAAATCTGAACGCGCCAGATATTCCTCTCTTCCAGTGGGTAAAACTGCGGCCCAGAAGGGCAAACCAGGAAGGAGCCCCGCAGCCCATCCAGTGGACAAACTGCTCTGGTTCCAGACCTGCCCTTTGCTCCCAGAGCTAGGAGGGTGAGAGTGCCAGGCATGTGTCACCTCTGTCACTTCCCCGGCTCACGCCCTGCCCTGACTCCACTCTGAGCTTGGCAAAGCTGAGATCCAATCAAACAGGCTGGCTGGGTGGCAGAGGAGGGAGGTTTCCGGGGCCTGTGGTTACTCCACTCCACTTCCTTGTGATGACATAAGCCCTATTTCTGCAGCAGGAGGCCACCAGCAAGATTCTCAGGTCTCCACACAGCCCACCTGAGGTCCTCTCTGGGCCTCAGTTTCCCAGATCTGTAAGCTGGACAGCATGGGATACAGTTGGGATTGATTGGCACTGGCTGGCTTTGGGACCCTGAAGACACCCCACATATTCACCCCTACAGTTTCTTCCGCCCTCCTCACCCACTCTCTTCCAATCCCCCAGTGCTCTCGGTTCAAAATATAGATGGTCATCAACCAAGATTTCAGAGTGGCCAGAACTAGGGAAATAATTGCAGCTAGAGGATCCAAACGAGAGAGGGAGGGCAGGGGTCCAGGCTGACAATGTCCGTGGGTCCCTCCGGGGGCTCACCCCCACCCCCTCCCTACCCCACCAGCCCTGTGGTCTCAGATGGATGTGGGACTGGCCAAGGCAACTCCCCTCCCCAGCAGACTGAAGGAAGGAAGCTTAGGGAAGCTGGGCAGAGATAAAGGAGGAGGGAGTTAGGCACAGTAAGGGCTCCCTCATGGTGGGGGCTCAGAACTGGGGTCTTGAAAGGGTCTTAAATAAACTCACCATGTGACATGGCTTCCTTCCCCAATTTCAACTTTGCCAACTTTCAGTTCTTAGCAGTTACCTCCTTCTCCCCTAATTTGTCAGGTCTGTATTTCTGCAGCCTAGGGCAGGTCACAGCTCAGCCTCATCTCTCTCCAGCTTTGCTGAACATCCTCCCCTGCCCCCAGGTGGAGGCCTGCCCTAGTTCAGCCCAGAAGTTGGGTGCCCTAGTACAAAGGGATTAATGGCTAAAGGGATCACAGGGCAGGCCTGAGGGGCAGGGAATCTCTTGAGGTAAAGCTGACTAGCCTGGGTTCAGCAGCAGATGGGCCTGAGTCTACCTAGGCCATGTGGTGAGGCTGCTCACCCCTGCATCTCTTCCCCTAATCCTGAAGCCCCAAGTCCTGAAATGTCTCTCCTCTGCCTCTCCTGGAGCCTGGGCCTTTTCAGCAGGACCTTATAGATATCCAGGTTTGATTCAGATTAGAGGCCTCAAGCCCTGAGCCCAGGCCTGGAACTTCACCTAGTCAGACAGACCAGACCCCTCTCCCTAAACACACACACACACACACACACACACACACACACACACACACACACCCCGACCAAGCTGTCTTCTACTAGCCTCCCTGTCCAAAGAGCTGGACTCCAGGGCTCACTGCAAGTTATTCTCAAAGGCACTTCAGTTAGAGACGAGAAAGGACTTTCAGGAAGTCAGAAAGACAGTAAAACCCGGCAGGAGAGAGTGAGTCCTGGGGCAATTCCAAATCCTTGGCCTTTCCTACAAATGCTCTACTTGACCGCAGTGCATACTCAGTCCTTTAGGTAGGACAAGTGTTGTCCGGGAGATGGAAGGTGATCCAAAAGCAAGAACTCCCCTATGGCATGGCACTGGTACCATCTGCTCCCTATCCCTGGCCCAGGCCTACCCTTGCACTGATTAGAAACTGGGCTCTGTCCAGGCGTTGTCTGCCTTCCGAGGCCAGCTGCCCATTGAGGGCTGTGGTGTGCCGGGCTCTCCTGTCAAGCTGGAGCCAGAGCCGGAGCCAGTGGGGAGGAGTGGCAGGGTCATCTTCCCCCTGAAAACCTGGCTCTTCTCCATTCCCCCTATGCCTCATCCAGACCATCAACTCAAGGCCTCCCTTTTGGACTGGGTGCAGAGCGCAAGTGCAATCCTTTCTCTGGGGAGAGGGAGCCAGGGACCTTCTGGTGGTGGAAATGGGAAGGGAACACCAGGTTTTTGTCCCCCTGTACCTAAAGTGCCCACCCCCTGAGGGTCCCCAGGTGGGAACCCCAAACCTTGCCATGCCCAGCCCAGCCCGGGACCCTGAACAGAGGTGTGGGGCCTTTGTTTGGCTCTCTCCTACAAGATGGAGTCTAAAGGAAAGCCCCCTATGGAGGGGCTGCCCCAGCCCCTTCCTTCCCAGCCCTGGTTCACAGTGGGTGGGGGTTAGAGCTTCATTTCCCTTTTATGGTGATCAGTCTCTCCCCATCTGCTGCAGATGCCATATTTACATTTCTCACTCCCACCCTCCAGCCTGCACCTCCCTCCCTCGACCTCCAAGGGCTCCTGCTGCAATGTCAGCCCCAGTAGCAGCCTGGCCCCGCCCCGGCCAGCCCACCAGGCACCTGCGGGGCTCCTCTTTGTCTCAGGCTGCTCAGGGCCAGGAAGGCTGCATGGCAAGTGATGCTGAGTGCCACCTAGGTTGCGGGCATCGGGGGCCTCAATCTCCTTCTCTCAACCGCAGAGATGGGATCAGCCTCAGTGCCTGCTCCGCGGGCTGCAGAGGGCTGGCCAGGTGGCTGGGGGCATCATCCCTGGGGCACGAAGAGGGGAGCTTTTCCAGAAGCAAGTTTCCAGGACCCCTGGAATCTGGGTCACTTCTAAGCCAGGGGAGCCACCCTAGACCTGGAACACCCCTCTCCCCCAGCAGACAAAGCTGGAGCAGAGATGAATGTTGCTCTCCACATCCTTGTCTTGATGACCAGTCCCAGACTGGACCTCTCCCAGTGTAGCCCTCTCAAAGAGAAAGCCCCAAACACAGGCAGGGGTGGCGTGGTGTAAAGCGTCTCCACCCAGCACAAAGAACACAGATGGTTCAACTTTGCAGTATTTCCTGCTCTGCACCTCTGTGTGCCCCTCCCAACAGAACCCACCCAGCCCTCTTCTCTCTCTGCCTGATTTCTGTCAGGACATGACTTCAAATCCCAGAACTATTGGCAATGGCGCCACGGATAAATCTATTCAGCCCTCCTCTGCTCCATTTCACCTGAATCTCCATGGGTGGGCATCAACTCAGCCCTCTGCCTCTCACCCCTTGGCCCCATCTTCTCCTCCTGAGGCAGGATCAGCGGGGCTCTTTCCCCAAGCCACCGGCTCCACACAGAGGGCCAAGGCACCGATCCGTCCTTCCTTGAGTCCCACAGCCAATCTTTGTCTGCAGAACAGCTCTCAGGGTGCTGTGCCGCCTCCGTGGCTGGACCAAGAGCACAGCACCAGCTGATGAGAGCAGATGAGGGGAAACATTTTTGCTCTCCAATAGCCCGGTATGAGACAGCAGCCTCGTGGGGAGGTTAAGAGGAAACACAGACGCCCCGGCCTGGGCCAGGGCTGGGTGTGAAATACCGGATTTCCTTGTTTATTCGATTTTCTGATCATTTAGAGCTCCCAGGAGGGGCCCCAAATTACCACCCAAACAAAGCCACCTTCCCGCAATCCTCTGGGCCGCCGCTCCCGGGCGCCCTCCACCCGGCCCGCGCCGGCCCCTCCTCCCCGAGCGCGGGCTCCCGCACAGCGGTGCCTGCGCCCCCGGCCCCGAGCCCACGCGAGACAAAGCCCGAGCCGCTCGGCGCGCGCCCCGCTCCCCGCCGTCGTCCCTACCTGACGGCCACCTTGACGCAGCAGTCCCCCTGGCCAGCCATGGTCTCCTGGCGCTAGGGTCGGGGCGCGGATCAGGGGAGGGGGTCCGGGGGCCGATGCCCAAGGCAGCGGCTGCTACTGCGGCTGCAGGAGGCGGGGACGCGGGGGCTGCTGGCGAAGGCTGACGCGGAGGCTGGAGGTGACATGCTCGCGGGAGACAGGCAGAGGGGCTCAGTCGCGGCCGGCCCCTCTCGGCTGGTCCCGCGCACCTCCTCGCGCCATCGGGCGGTGGCGCGGAGCTCGCTGACAGCCGGCGGCGCGACCCGCCGCTCCCCACCGCGCGGCACACGCGCGCACACCTCCCGCCCGCCTGCCCGCCGCCGCCTCCCGCCGCAGAGCGAACAAAGGGGGCGGGGGCCGAGCCCCGCGAGCCCGCGCCTGGCCCCGCCCCGCCTCGGACCCACCAATCCGCGGCCCGAACGAGCAGCAGGGGCGGGATTTGTGGCTTTAAAGGGACCTCTTGGCCGGCTTCCACCAGGTTGCTGGGGCCGGGCGGGTTTGGAAGTGTGGCGGATGGGGCTGGAGAAGCCAACCACACTGGAGCTTCGACCCTCGGAGTCGCAGAACCTCGGCCTCAGCGAGATCTTTTCGTAAATGAGGAAACAGACGCAAAGAGGGGAACTACCCAGGGTCACACAGCGAGTTAGTGGCTAAGCGTGGGTAAGAACCTCGGCCTTCGGGACAGAGCCCTGCACTTCAAAGCGTCCCACAGCGATTAGCGGTTTAGAGTTCGAAAGAGCCAGGAACGCTTCTCTTCTACATTTATTCCAGTAAAGTCGCCAACCTTTATTGAAGGGGATTCTTGTTATAGCCTCAGTAAAATTCCCGCACCGTGCCACCCTGCAGCCTCTCTTTAAACCCATCTTTTGGTAGATTCCGCCCGGGCTCCTAGTCCAGCTGGCCTCCCCCTACTGCTGGACCGCGATCCCATGGACCTTTATGACCCGCGGGTGACCTCGCTGGGCCTGGCACACACTCCCCTTGTTGTGGCAGCTGGGGGGAGAGGGTCACGGTGGGAGCCCCGAGCTGGCCCAGGAAGAGGAAGGGACAAAGGGGGCACTTTCTAGCCGGGCACCTGGGCAGGAAGGCTGGGCAGCGAAGTGGGTGGGCAGGGAAGGAGGAGGAGCACAGATGCCTGCAGGAACGGACGTAAAGGACAAGAGGAGTCCTGGGCACACAGGCCTCCATCACACAGGGCAGTGATGGAGGAGGAAGCCAGCGCCATGAGGTCCCAGCTCCCTTTCCTGCCCACCTCCCCTCCCTCCGAGCTTCGAGCTTCGACTCCTCCTCCCAGCCCCCAACTCCCAACATTGAGGCTATTCACGGGCCCTCACCAGCTGCCTCGCTCCCCTCACTTCACCCAGCTCCCTCTGGAAAGGGCCCAAGAGGAGGATCCGGCTGCAGCTCCAGAAGTGGATGGAGACCCCTAGGGGAGGGGTGGGAGGGGCGTCTGACTCCCAGCCTCTTGCGTCACCCTCAGATGATGAAACCACGTCAGGAATTTTGGCAAGGGTGTGGGTTAGGGTATGAGGGTACTATACGTCTATTGGTGCCATCTCCCCTCTCTCCCCTCCCACCTCACCCACCCCCACGGATCACTGCTTCCTCTAGGAGCCCAGATCCCCATTCAAGGGCAAATGTCAAGGTCAAATCAATCCACCCTTCCCATCCTCAAAGCCGGCAGGAGTGCCACCAGCAGTATGTCTGGGGCAGTGGGGTCCTGGTGGAATCCTGGACCTTTTTCTAGTATTTGAACCTCAATGAATCCCTGGAACTAGTGAATCACTTCTCCCAGAGCAGGAAGCCATCAGTGTGGAGTTGGTTCCTAGACATTGTCTTCCCATCTTCCAACTAAAATAAGAGGTGGGGAACACAGCAACCTTCATGGACCATCTATACAAACAAGGTACTTGATAAGCATGTTCTCATTTTATCCTCATAACCTTGTGAAGTAAGCTTTATTGTCTTCCAATTTTACAAGTGGGAAACTATTCTCACATAGCATATAAGCAAGAGACTCAGAATTTGAATTTGTGCTCGTGGTTCTGGACTCCCCAGATCACCCCAAGCAAGTGCCCAGGGGGAAGGGAGCTGGGCTGGCCCAGGCTTTGAAAGCCCGTAGGCATGGCAGCTCTGGGCTTAGCCCTCCTGGATGATCATGCTGTGTTTTGTAAACCTCCTGTTCCTTCCCCTCATCTCTGGACGTTTTTGGGGGCCCGACTCTGATTTCCTGTCTGCAGAAGGTCCGTGCTGACTTCCGACATTAGGTGACCCTTCTGACTCACAGTTCCACTGCAGGGAAATGCTGCCAGAGCTGCTGCCCACCCCCTCTGCATCCCTCTGGGCCACAGGATGTCCAGTCAGGACAAGAAAGGAGGCACATGGGCTGGAGTTTTGGGCCTCTTAGAAGTCACAGCCTTAGAACTTGGCGACCCCAGCTACCTCGGCAGCTCCTTCTGGGTAGTCTGACTCCTGGGATCTACAGCCCAGATGTTAGAACCTAACTGGGCATGGGCTACATGGGACACAAGGTGGAAAAGAGCCCTAAACCGTTGCCACTTAGATTTAGGCTAGACGGGTCACAAGAAGCCTAGGACAATCCCTGCCCCTTTCAGTCTCTGTCCAGCTTCAGCACAGTCACTGCTTCCTGTCTGTAGCTGTTCCTACACCCTCTACCTCCTCCCAGCTGCTCTTCTCTCCTTCCCTCCTAACCCTGCAGTATTGTGGGATCAGCTATATAATGCATATGTCACCCCGGGGCTTTCCTCTCTGTGTGATGCAACAGGCACACACACAGACACACACACATACACACACACACACACACACACACACACACACACGCTGGCCCTGAGCCCCTAGTTGGACTGGACTTTGATCCCCTGTTCTTGTCCTGAGCTGAGGCTCTTCCCCAGGCATCTTGGGGCCTCCATCACCTCTGCTGACAGGAGCTGTGGGCGTCTGGACAGATGGGAGCTTGGGGGAGTTGCGGAGAGCCTTCTCTGAGTCTGGAAGCTCCCACGCTACTGTAGTTAAAATACTCCAGCAGTAATTTGAGGCAGCCATCTGGCCCAGATCTCTCTCAGCCACATCCCAGCTTTCAATAGCAACCCTACAGGAACAAATCAAGATACCTACAAGGACAGACAGCTAGGAATGTCTCTAAAGGTAGCTTGAATTTGAGCCCATTTCTCTTTTATCTTCTTCAGGGTTAGTACAGGGCTCTGGTATTTGCAAAAACTCTCTGAGAAAATCAACCTAAAGTTCTAGTGATGGAAAATACAGCATCTTGGACTTGCAGTCCTAGACTCCAGCCCCACCCCAGCAGTGACACTTGGTTCCACAGGAGAAGAAGCCTTCTCCCATTCTCTGGCAGATGTCCAGCCACAGCCTCTGATGCCTACCCAGAGACAGAGCTGAATTCTGCCCACTGCCAGGAGTTCAGGAACCCAAAGAGGGTCCACCGGGTTGCAGACTCAGGAGATCTGAGCTTGGGCACAGGCTTGGCCTCACTTCCTGTTACAGGAGGTGACAGACTTAGCTACAAAGGAAACCAGAGTTTGTTTTAAATAGCAAGGAAGGGAGAAAACTGCTGTGGATTACAAATAGCCCATCAGTCTAAAAACAACAGCAAAACTGCTTTGGGTTTCAAATGACAGTTAGCGTTTATTAATGCTCCATATAACCTCAAACATGGGATCTTTATCCACACTTCTGCTTCACAGTGCTTTCTGTCACAGTGTTAGGGCCAAAGGCAGGAGCAGGTCTGAGCAATTCTCAGCGTCACCAAATCCTAGACTTGGAAAGAGCTGCTGAATCACCTGACCTAGCCCTTTTATTTTCAGGTGAAGAAACTGAGGCCCAGAGAGGTAAAGGGATTTGTGCAAAGTCGCACAGTACAGTCTGGTAGGGGCTGAGCAGTAAAACTGAAAGCTCAGTTTCTACACTCCTCGCGAAGGACAGTCTCTGTGACAGCATGAGAGAAGCCAAAGGCTAAACATCTGAAACTGGTCTGTCGGCGAGTTTATAGTCCTGACAAAAATTCAGTCTGAATGAAATAACGCAAGACAGACCAGAGGCTAAATTGTGGTCTTCTGAGTCACAGAGATCTGGGCTCAACCCAGCTCTGCCACTTACGAGCTCTGTAACCCTGGACCAGTGAGGAAACCATGCCAAGCATCAGCTCCCACGCCTCACAATGAGGCTAAGTGCACGTGCCCCTCTTGGGACTGTTTCGAGCTTGTAAGGAAATAGCCTAGCTCGTGCATCCAGCGCTCAGCGCGGTGTAGATGTTGATTTCCTTCACATTTTCTTTGGGTTCTCTGTCCCTCCTATAGATGGCTCCTCTCCTCTCACTGGATAGAAAAGTGGTTTTGTGGTAAGGAAGTCCTGAGAGGGGCAGGAAGCCTCAGGGGGGAGTGTGGACGAGGATGGGAGAGGGGAGGTCAGGGCTATGAGGTTGTCTGGCCCCAGTAGTTGGCATGCAGTCCAGAGAGTAGAAAAGTGAGTTCTGCCAGAAGTTCTCTATTAGACCACTTGCCCACTCCACAGCGGACCTGGGGTGGCTGTTTGCAGAGTTGGGAGGAGCCTTGGCATGCTGGATCCCATTCTCTGCAAACACGCCAGGCTCAGCCTCCCCAGAAGGGGATCTTGTGCTTGTGTGCTCACCCTGTGGCTGCATGCATTACATATGTTTTCTCATCGAACCCACTCAAGACTCTGATGTAAACACTATTATCATCTCCATTTTGCAGAAGAGGAAATGGGGTCAAAGGTCAGTTGGCTAGGGTAGTGGTCATTAGTGCTGTTCACATATTTACAGTTTTCTGTCTTCTGGTGCAAGGTAGGGCTGGATGTCCTTCCTCTTCTGTGATGGAGACTGGTCAGGGGACAACTAATGAAATGTGGGCAGGACTTTGTCAGCGGTGACAAAATCCATGAAATGTGGCAAAACTGACAGTTGTCACCTCCAGAGCCACTGGTACCCTCACAAGAATGTCATTCACAGAGTGTAAGTAAAAAATAAGCTTTTTTGGTGCGGAGCCCTGGACTTTGGGGTTTTGTGTTTCCATGGCATGGCCTTACCTCCTCTGACACAGGTAGTAAGGGTTGAGCCAGAGTTCAGAGGCCTGGTCTAAAAAGATGCCAGGGCTTGTTTTCCGGGGCTCCACATGCCTACCCACAGAGATACACACACAATCCCCTTTTGGGCTCTGATCTCCTGAGTTATTTGGAGCCTCTTGGAGCTGGTGGAGGAAGGCAGATAGCCTCGCT